TTAGAAAAGTCAAAGGTCATTTTTGAACTATGGCATGATATTTGGGTTATCCACGAATATTTCCTCCTGCGTAGGTTAGTTGGGAGCACGGGGACTAATGTGCTCTATTTCTTAGAGTACGGGGACCACAACTTTAAATTTCCATAATTTAAAATATCCCTTTCTTTCTTATTTTGCATACTTTTTTCTTAAAGAGTAACCTTGCGTAAATACCATAAAATAAGGTTTGATATTGATCGTATTTCATTTCAAAAATGGAAAGTTCAACAAGATTGGGATTTTTGAAAATTGAATGTAGCCACTAATTCATGATCTGGGCATGAAAATCTTCATCATATCTAGTCGAACCAGCATGTGTTATGACTTATGAGTTAGTTAAGGCGGAATGAGGAAATATAAAATTATTGTTTGTGTCAGGTACGAGGTCCATTCTTCTCAAATTGAACAACTTCTTTTGAATATCTGAATGTCAAGCTGGCCACCCTATTATCGTAGGGGACTTGTGAACATTTACCTTTTGCCCCTCTGTCATCCAAGCTTTTGTCCCTATCCATGCGTGTTTGGTAAAAAAAATTCAAGAGTCCAGGAAAGCGAATTATTTAATTTATCTATCTTCAAAGAGAGTGAAGTGAAAAATAGATATATGAAGGTCACTAATGTGTTTTTTACACGAAGACAAAGGAGAGTACAAAAATATGCGCGTGTACATATATATATATATATATATATATATAGATCATGTTTAGTAAGTTAAGGATCGAATTAGTCGAATATGTTAAAGATTGACTTAATCGAGTTGACCTACTATTTTAACTAAAAGATTATTTTTAATAAAAACAACATACGTCTTATTCATTACAACTTTATAAAGGAATGACAGTAGTTTTTTTCCACTTCCATTCAAAGTAGGCAGCCTCCAAGTAGGACAATTTCCTCAACTATGCCTCATGCTAGTGAATGGTGTCAAGATCTAAATCACTCTTATCTAAAATTTTAATATTTTCAAACGAGACAAACTTTTTTATTTCAATCCTTCCCTCGAGGGCACCATATTCAAATTTGGAGTTCCATCTTAAAATGTCAACTTTATTAAGAGGAGTAACACGATCCTTTATAAGTTAGTTTATGTCTATATCTTTATTCGATGTGGGATTCTATCTCTTAATATGTTCTCGCAAGATGGTGGCTCGTTTGAGTAGACTAATTTTGAAATCAGTATTGTTCACTTTTGGAGTCTTAATCGGATCGAATTGCTCGTTAAAGTTTAATGAACTCTGATAACATATGAAGATTTGAAATTTCATCTTAAAATGTCAACCTTATTAAGAGAAGTAACACAATTCTTTATAAACTAGTTTACGTTTACATCTTTATTCGATGTAGGATTCTATCCCTTAACACACCACACATTAATTTTTCTTCATCAAAGGCCGCACGGTAATACTAATTAAATCAACTCCAAATTCAAAGAAAAACGTGTTTCCCAATTCAACTTCGCTATGTAGATAAAAAATGTATATATAATGCAAATGATAAAACGAAATCCTAACGATGTGTTGGGGATGTAAACGAAAATGACAATGACATCGATGAGCAAGGTGTGGCAATTGAGCTCTCGGGTGAAGTCCGACAAACAGGGCAACTGGCATTGAGCATAAGCCACTCGTCTATGCAAGCAGCATGGAAATAGTGATTGCACTCTGGAATGGTCTTCAATGTCTCCTTGGGTTGGTACTCAGCCAGACATATAGGGCAAGTACCATCACTAGGATTGGGTAATCGCCTACTCTCTCCGAGCACTGTCTTTGGGTATGAGGCGATGGTGAGCCCATCAAGACCGGAGACTCGAACCACTGGTTGCTGAGATATTGTGGTGGTGGGAAGCTCGGAATTCTCATGCCGACGGAGGCTAAAAGCCCGTACCAGGCCACAAGTGTAACATGCAAGTCCAATCATACATACTAATCCTGGTATTCCAATGCCAATAATAATCCCATATTTGGCACTTCTTGGAAGACCTGTGAACGAGAAATAACATGTAGATAGTTATTACATCAGATTTGGACAGAGTTCATATGTAGTTAGAAGACCCCACCCCACCCCACCCCACTCCACCCTCATAAAAAATTCTTGCCATCAGGAAAAAAGAAGCAAAAAGGACAATTGAAAATGAAAATTTTGCAGAAGATTCAACTTGACTCCCACATATTAGGTCATGGGTGGATATTTAGAAATACAGTGTTATCTAAAGCATTATTTCTTAATTTCTTATTCAGCGAAAAAGACAGGCAGAAGGGCTGATCACCCTAATGTCGTTCGTAGATAAATTTACGTTGGTAAAAATTTCTTTTTTAAAAGTGTTTATTTGTCAAGAATCCATTATATTTCTGGTCATTCCAAATATTTATCAAAGCCATTGTGCACAAATTTTCTTAACATAACACCAAAGATCAAGTTACTGGGAATAATTTTTTTCAAAATTTTGCAAAAATATGTTACTAATTACTGTGGCAATGTAAGTAGCTTAATCAACACTATTGGCAAAGCTTACTGTAATATTGAGCAAACTTACACATTCGTTCGGGTCCTAAATTCTGGACAGTGTTGTGTTCTCCACAATACTTTGTTGGAAAAATTGAGTTTGTAGGTGACTTTGGCATAAATTTTGAGCGAGACCCGTTTGGTTATTTTGGAAGATGAAAGTTGATTTGTGTTCTCCTCCGTGAGTACATCGAAATCATATACTTGTCAAAAATGATGTTAGGGTGAATGAGAAATTGAAACTCAAAGTATGCCATGTGAAAGGAGTTTATGTTGG